CATTAACTCAAAGACACAATCAGCCCCAGGCAATCCGGCTTCCCTCCATAACCTTTTGACATTGCTGCTGGGAAGGTAAATGAGAGAAGAAGTTAAGAAGCAGAGAGGGGGGGAGAAAGACTTGATTATGAATAGTGCCAGGAAGTGGTTAGACCAAAACATAACTTCACAAAGTAGGCTGTTTGAGGGATTTTCTTTTTTAAATTGCAAAAAAAAATAATGTCAATTCCATGACTCCATTTTATGTTATCTATTATTTTCTCTGAGTTAACTGCCTGGAACTGCATTAGAACAATAAACTCACCACTTTGAGTATTCCCAGTTCCAGCAGCTTTAGACTGCGTTTTTCCCTCTGGTGTGCATTAGAGCCATGCATGGGTTAACATTTTCCCAGTGAGAACGGTTGGGATATTGCAACTCGGACTGGCCAGTCAGCAGAATGTTATGAATGGGCACAATGAAAAACCCCAAGTCCACGCTGTCGACCCAAGAATGCTTGCTTCCATGTAATTAACTTTTCTCTGTGTACAGAATGAGGCACTGCTGGAATAACTCACTCTTTTTCTGTTTCTATTACGGTCATGTTTTGAAGAGAGAGAAAAAAAACACACATTCTGAGAATTCAACATGGAAAATATTTTTGCCTGTCCATACTTTGAAGTATCCCATGACTAATACAGTGATTTGGATAGTGGTGGAAATGGAACGGACCACTTGAAAAGGGGTGGTACGTGATCAGCAAAAGCTGGCCTCATTGCTCTCTGGGTGGACAATGTCAGCTGCTAGTTACTTGCGCTCATATAAAGATGTACAACAAGCCATTACAAAGTATGACATGTGGGAAAACCTGGATCAATGTATAAACGCAGGTTATCTTGTTAAACATGGTTCAGACATGTTGCCTCAAGGTATATTAGCAATTAGGTATGCACTGCACACATGCACGCATTCAGTCCTTCACCCAGTATTCTAACATGGGAATACATTCATTGAGATATCACCTCTGTAAGTACTTGCACTGGACAAACTGTGTATCAATACGTGTTTGCTGTACACTGCGGTGAAAATGGGTTCAGCATATATAAATAACGTACAGTAACTTGGAACAGACTGCAACTATGTAAAGAATAACATCTGCAAACCATTGGATTATAAACCTACAGTATAACTACAGTATAATTACATGAGAGTCTCTCTCGGGCACCGTGCTGTTAGAGGGAAGAGGGATGAGGAGAAAGTGGAACAGCTACAGTAATCTATCCAACTTCATTTCACCGGAGTGATTCTGCCTGGGGGTATGCACAAGTCATAATGCATTTGACAAATAGTCTCCCGCTAAAACAGGCATTTGCGAAGAAGTGGCCTTCAGCGCTGGTATACACAGCTGAGTCTACGCTGAACAAACAAGCCTCCCACTCAGTGAGGAAAAGATACAGAGAGGCTTCAAAAAGATTAGGAGAAATCTTGGGCGAAAAGTAAAGATGACTCACGGTGATTGTGCAAGTGGAGGACAATGCAAGTTGGATGGAGTTGAGAGGAGCAACAGAGCCGTGGGGTTCATAGCAAAATACAAATCGATGCTTCTCTCATGTGTTGTTCTTTGCGTTGTTCTGAAATGTGGATGCACAGGTTGTTTTATCAGGGAATTTACAATGAAATGTAGAGAAGCACAATGGCATTCTGTCTGACATTATCTCCCCATCATTTTATGTGTTGATAGTGAATCCGATTTGGTTTGAAAAAAGAACTCAAACACATAGAGTAAATTAAACTCAACATTTATGATTGTTACATACTATATTTTGTTGATGTTTAAAGTCTAATTGCAGGAAAACCATTGCCTAAATCCAAAGGTCAAGTGCATTCATAGATTTGTGCTATTGACTTATCCTGTCAGCGTGATCCATATTCCTGGCATGCATCAATCAATCATCAGTCTGAATGTGGCCAATCAGCTCAAACCAGTTTCAGCTTACACATTCTTTACGTTCCTCAATTATTAACCCCTTCAGGTAGAAACAGAGTTCAAATATACACATACCCACACACACACACACACACGCACACACATAAGTCATTCTGACAAAGCCTAATAGTCACCCTCAGAAATAGATTGATAGTGTTTGAGTTTACACCACTAGAACAGGAAGTGATGGGCTTTTATATATGGACTGTCCCACTTAGTATTATTCTCACTTCCTGGTTGGTGTCTTTAATGCTGTACAGTAATGCATTAACACACTAGTGACTTTTACACAAGTTATATAAATATATATACAGCACATATCCTGTCTGTTTAGTGTAAATGTTGGTCAACACCTTCCAGCCTTCCAGGAGGCCTTAATCAGGAGGGTTTGAGACATGGGAACTTGTTCATACCCTATATGTGCACAGCTAAAGTACTGATCACTATAATTTGTGCTTGGGACAAATATCCAAGCCATAGTTACTGCTACTGAATTCACAAATCAGTGACTTACAATCAAATCTCATCCTGTGAGATTTTCTAGCAGAAAAGCATTGAAACCATGCATGCAATAGCTGTAAATACCAACATAATGACTGTGAAATTAAAGAATAACACATTATTTATCCTCCTTGCAAGCTTTGCAGCACCTGCAGGTGATGTAGCATTGTGGCATTGCTAACACGGTGCTACTCCGGGAGGTCAACTCTATCCCGCTCCTGAAATGAAACTGCCATTAAGATGAACTACTGCCAAAACGTCATATAAAGCTCCTGTATCATTATTCAACAGTTATGAGTGGTAGCAGCAGCACAGCACAGATAATATGTCACTTTACATCTTAGTCACAGCTGTTACTTTAGTAATGACAATGTTATACGATTCTGTCCTTGAAACCCAAACCTGCTTCTTACCGGGCCAACAACCTCTACATTCGCTGAATCGTGTCAACTAGTACAGTTCACTGTGTTAACACTACAAGACCTGAGACAAGGCCTCGGTCAGAGAGTCAAGTCTCATTGTGATCTTAAATATGCATCTGCAGCTACTGTGTGTGTGTGTATGAGTGTGAGCTGAGCCAGGCCATGCACACACACACACAAGCGTGAATGCTGTAATATTAACACAAGGACGGAAAGATTACAACAACCCCCTTTATGTGAGAGTATTCCTCACCTTAACAGGGTAATTTAAGGTATGATTTAAGATTAAATTCAGACTTAGGATCAGTTTATTTTGGAGTTCAAGGATTGATGTCACAATAGGTTCGTGGTTAAGGAATGACTGCAGTTGATGTAAAGTACTCATGTATTGTAATTCAAACCTCCATGCAAGTGAGTGTGAGAGTGTGTGTCTGTGTGTGCAGCTGACAGTGTGTGTTGTTCATGTATACATACAGGTGACTGTGTGTATGATCAGGGGAGATTAACAATTCAAATATTGTACTGTGCTATAATGTTTCACTTTGTCATCAGCAAATGTTAACTGCCTGCTGGCTTCGCTCCAGGTGCTAAGGCAACCAAACCTATTTGAATGGCTGCGGGAATAATGCCTTATTCTAGCCCTGCCAAATGTTTACACAGGTTTTACCTTGACCACATGAAGAAAATAAAATAGCCTCCTTGCATGTGACTTGTAATCTTGGCTTATATGGCATGTTTGTACAATTGTGATTTGTCTAAATGCAAAATCTTAATCAGTAAAGCAAAGCCTCAGCTCTGGTGTACACTACATGGAAAAAGTAGAGCAGTGAAAAAGTGATCTCTTTACTGTAGGCCCCATGCCATTCAACAGAAATATCAATAACTGCGTAATTCAAGAAACTTAGACAATATTTAGCTAAATGTGACTCATGCAAACTGATTTTGTGGCACTTTCCTTTAAATATAAGCTTGTATGTAAGATTTATTTTCTGGCACTTATCCCTCTAATTTACAAATAAAAGTGTCTAAAAGAGATTCTAGTAAGATTGGATGCAATTCCGTGCGTAAAAACGCATGTGCAACTTGTTCCCTGGGTTGATATGGACACAAAGGCTGATTAATAAATTCCAATCTTTCATCCTGTAGAATTTAAAGCAACAACGGGTGGTTTCTTTATTAGTGACTGATGAATAATTAATTCCTACAAACTTATTATGTGCGCGCTGATGAGATTCGATGTATACGCAAAAAGGTGTTGATGAACCGAGCCTTTGAGAATATGCGATATATTCTTCTTCATGAAAACACTTTTATCGAGCAACGAGACAAAGTAAGACATATTAATATGCAGATTGGTCAGTTGCAAGCTGCATGATACCTTATAGCATCACAAATGGCCCCGGACCCATAGCATGCATCACATTTAGACGCAATCTTGATAGCTGGTTTATTGGACTAATTGTGCATTGACCCATGTGGGAACCTGTGTGGAGCAGATAAGATAGTGTGTTTCCGCAAATAGCTCGTCAAGGTTTTAAATTATACAGGGAACAGTTTGCTGCTTTGCATGTACTCCGTTTTAAGGAGAAGGGAAAAAAAAGGCACATATTCATTTGGTGCCCAGTTTGTTCGCCAGTACTTCCAGTGCTCTGGAGAGAGTGGTGCGCTCCAACTCAGCTCACAGGACAGCGACAGTACAACGTAGCCACAGTTTTTATCCGGAGGAACACATTTGCAAATTCTAATTACAGGAAAACCCGCGTGCACGAGCTCAGAACAGGTGTCGCGTGTGTGTGCGTGCGTGTGTGTGTGTGTGTGTGCGTGTGTGTGTGTTATGCAGAGTTTAAAAGATTCTGCACATCAGAAATACAACAAAGTTCTAATGCAGCTAAAAGACTCAAGTCAACATAATTCAACCCGAGGAGGAAAAAAAGTGCAGCTCTAGTCACTAATGGCCTTCCTAACACATTGCGACGGATCATACATATAAATATATATAAATATATACAGGCCACCATGAGTAACCAATGCATTTGTGCGCGTGTGCATCATCACACCGAAGGCTGCACATCTGACCGTATATAAGCTCATAAAGTAGAGATAATTGTTACCTTGTTGGAGTGGTAATAGTCCAAACCGGAGTCAGTTGGTAACGTACATGAACCCACGCTTGAAGGGGGAGCTGGATAAAATCTGACGTCCATCTCAGAGTCCGCAAGACTGACGGCATGAAAGCGTAGCTCCAAAAAACCGGTGCGACTTCTCTCTCTCTCTTTCTCTCTCTCCCTCTCTCTCTCTTTCTCTCTCTGTGTGTGTGTGTCTCTCTCTCTCCCTCTCCTGCACACACACTCACTCTGCTTTTTCTTGTGTATTAAACCGCACAAAAAGTAGCAGAAGCAGAAGAAGAGGACCGAGTCTGTCCCAGTCGTTCACTCTTCACATCCGTCCTATAGTTCACTTCAGCACTATGTGTTCATTCGGCGCGGTGATGCTCTCATATAACATCCCTATAAAGTTCACTTGGAGAGAAGGAGGACGAGAGGGCTAAGCTGCCCGTCTCAGCAGTCACAGGGAAATAAAAAGTGAACCACTGAGGTTGTTTGTCAGTAGGATGCGGAATTGATCTTGTCGACGGTTTCTCCCAAAAAAAAACGCCCGTGCTCCGCTCCTGGTTTCCAGACGCGCTATAGCTTTGTCATGTGGGAGCGCTCGGATACATCCATGCGTTCCTGTCCACAGAGTGACTGCTAGGCTGCGACCTCTACCGACCGGAGCAGGAACAGGGGGATTGACAGGAGGGCTGTGCAGTGGAAGTATGAGTCCTCCTAAAACTGGAGGTCAAGTTCCTTCCCCAGTTGGCGGGATAGAGTCTTTGCATTACAAAACCAATTCCATCTCCAGTTGATTTAACTCTCTCTAATCAGTCTGATTTAAAGAGCTGTGAACAAATAGCTGGTGTCACTCGTGTTTTTATATGTGATCTAACTCTGACAGTTCCGTCAAGATCACAACTCTAGTCCTCCTTTGATGTTAAACTGGTATAAAAATTGAAAATGAATGTTTCCACTCCCTGTAATTGAAGTAGCAATATGCCTACCACACTGTAATCATACTCCATTTCAAATAAAAGTCTTGCATTTAATTGTTGAAAGTGAAAGTTTTTAATTATTTGTAAAGTAAATTTAAAGAAGCAGTAAAAGTACTTAATGCAGGAACATGGCCCAATATATTACTGTAACATTATCACTGACGCAGCATTTTACTGTCGGTGTAATGTGGGTATTTGATACACTTCTGGCTATTTTATATTTGCAAACTAGTAACTATAGCTGTCAGATAAATGTAACTGAGTAAAAAATACAATATTTGGCCTTTGAATTGTCATGGAGTTGTAGTATAAAGTGGCCTAAAATGGAAATACTCAAGTAAAAGTACCTCAGGATTGTACTAGTGTTTGAGAAGAGGTATTTAGTTACATTCCACCACTGGTCTATCACCACACAGCGCTTTATGTTACATTTATATGTGAAAAAAAAATTCAACTCAAGAATCAAAGTTAACAAAGATTATAAATACAATATGTTGGGCTGAAGTTTCCATCTGATGTAATACCAGGTTTCATATAGATCCAGTGCTGGTAAAAAATCACCTAAATAATATATCATGTCATGTTTTTATACAAACTGTTTCTTAACTCCAAAGCTATTTAATAGGAGAGAAAAAAATCAGGGTTCAAACAGTCACATTAGCTTTGTGTGATTGGGGTCTTACTATATTCCAGACAAGAAAATCGAACCACAAATGTCAATAAACCTCCTCTATCCTCGTCGTCACATTCTCCTTTTGTTTTTTTATAATGTCACTGACTGGACTGTCATTGATGTCCATTAACACGGCTACATACCGAATATTAGGAGGGACACAGTGAAGAATAACACAGCAGAAACCACCTTATATATATATATAGAATTCATACAATGTTTAATAGGAAATTACCTCCTGCTGGTCTTTATAAGACAACACAATGAGGGTTAGTTAAAAAGTAAAAATATTAATTATATTAAAGTGCATTATATAAGTGCATGAATTTGTAGTTTTCTATCCCTTTTAAGATGCTACATTTAAATGACTTACATTACTTTGATACCCCTTTTTATAATGTGTAATACCGGCATAATTTAGTCCTCAAAGCTAATCTTTAGCTATAATTTTTGGTAAACTCTGTTTCACCTACTCGACTCCACTACATCACTGCCCACAGCTATTTTGGAAATGTACTTATTTTCACTTTATTTCATCTTGATGCCTGTCTTCTAGCCAGTAGGCAGTTGAATACACACTGAGAATAGATATACTTCTCACAGTAGCTGAGATAATCTACATTGCTACTGTGCTCCAGTTTTGACCCTTACATACACACACATAACATTTACACACACCTGGACAAACGCAAAACATACTCACACAGCAGTTGACACAACAGGATGTAAACACTGAACAATGTCCAACCAGACCTTCAAATAGGTGCAGAGAGGGAAAAAAACATTGCTCACAGCCAAATTTGTATCACGCTGTTTTTAAGAATAGGGTGGAGCGGTGTTATGTGCTCGCTCGTACGTGTCGGAAAGTGTCATTAATGTGTTTTTGCAAGGCAGAGCAACATGTAAGTTAGGTGTTCCAGCCAATGTGTGTATTTCTTTCTCTGCTTTTGGTGCATGTGTGGGAGTTTTTGTACAATAGTGAGTGAGTGTGTGTGTGTGTGTTTGTGTTAACCAAGCTGCTATTGTCATCCCAGTGGGTTACTTGTTGGCCCCCTCAGGACTGTGCCTATGTCCGTGTAGCTATTACCCGGCATGGTGGCGCTGGCCCTGGGGTGTGAGCCTGCTTTAATACCAGGCACAGATGGGTCGCACCATGGGCTTGCTGTGGCGGTCTGCCATCAGCTGCCAGCTCAGGCTGTCCTGACTCCAAGCTCATAAGGTTAACTGTCACAAAGACGCCGATTTCTCCTTATTCTGTGCTTCTGTGTCACTGTCTGTCTGATTCTTCTCTGCCTGTCTCTCACTTTGCTGTCACTTGTTCCCTCAGTCTCTCAGTCACTGCTACAGCAGAAGATACAGTACAGTACACAGGGGTATCTGGCACGAATCATGGCTTCATGGGAAAGGAATGTGTGTAGTTTTTTATGTTGCAGCCCTGCGTAACACCAAGTTTGGCCAGACAAAAAAGGAATTATTGAGAAGGAAAGGTGGTTGATAAATAGGGGAGGGGGTTGCAATTTGGAAGTGGAAAAAAAAGAAAGAGGCGGAAACAAGAAGGATGTTGGTTGAGATTGAGACAGGGGGTGGAATTAGTTGTTAAGTGGAGGGGGGAACAAAGTAGGGACTGGTAGACTGGTGCAACATGTAAATAAAGGGGAGATGACACAGGGAGAGAAAAAGTCAAAGTCAATGAAACTTTAAAGATGTGTAGCATTCAAGAGCAACCGCTTTCCAGCGTAGGATGCAAATCACACAGTCTAGCATCTTGAAATACATTTATCCACTCAGAGCAATTAGCAGAACAAACCATTTTTATTGCCTTGGTAAGAGCTCCTGCTAGCACCAGGAAATGAGGGGAAAATATAAAACAATATTTTCCATTAAGGGTTACGACCCTACCGGTACTTAGATGATGTCAGCAGTACTGGTTTTATAACTTCTTCTGAGCTTAAGTAATCTTACTTTTTGAAAATTGATAACCAATTTGCCTTTAGTAGAAAATAACTTCTAGAAGTGGTGACTCTAAGCCCATAACGTAGTAATGTTCCGTAATGTTTTGTGCTTTTACAGGAGCAATTTGATTTGGAGAGAAAAATGTCAGTTTTAGTGAAACTAGTGAACAATTTCACTTTAAAATAAAGCATTTACAAAGAGTGGCACCAAACAAAGACAGAACCATTTTCTTCCCTTTCTACTCTGAGCTGTTAATTCTTCTTCTCTTCTTCCGCAAGGAAATATGCACTGATTACTACCAATGAGCGATAAACAACACCAAAGAAATTATTCTTCCCTTTATCTCAAGACAGAGTGAGACTGGGGTTTTTGCTCATTTTCTGCCTTTACTTGTTTGTTTTGCATCACTGTATATCATTTACAAGGGCTTTTATCACACCTTCAGATATTTGCTATTTTCCCTGGTCTCAGTTTTTTCCTTAGTAAAACACAATTCTGTGCTGTAATTGTTCTGTGTGCTTGATATTAATTGTGACTGACTGTCTTATCATAGAAGGCTTAAATAGTGCTTGTAACTTCCTTCAATATGCAATATTATGTAAAAAAAAATAATCACAACATGTTAAATGTATCATATATAGATAACATTTAAAGCTTCAAAATATGTGACTGTCAGCTCTTTACAGATCACTTCCATAGGCTTTCAGATATTGAGGCAAAGTTCTCTTTTATTTCTCAAAATAACAGGCATCCAGAAGTTATCAATAATATCACATTTATTCAGTGCTGTTTATTGGAACAGGTGACTTGCAGATATAACCCTCTGCTAATCATAAAGAAGCCATGCTAGCTGCTCAGCAAGTGTGTTTGAGGTACGGTGGTGCTTTAAACTAAATGCTAATGTCAGCATGATAACACATTCCCCATCACACTGGAAACATGCTGATGTTTAGCAGGTATAATGTTTATCATCTTTAGCTTAGCTGTTAGCATTTGCTAAAGTTTTGCTAGTATCTCCGGGTCATCAAGCACATAGTAATGACCCTGTAATCGGCGGGTAAATGGACGCTGCTACTTGTATAGCGCCTTTTCTAGTCTTCGACCATCAAAGCAGCTTTTACACTACGCTGCCACCATCACCCTTGTCACCACATGGCACAAGTCCATCGAACAGACACTAACTCATTCATCTACACATTCACAACGCCAACTTTGGGGTTCAGTATCTTGCTCAAGGATACTTCGACACGTGGCAGGAGGAGCCGGGGATCGATCCAACAACCTTCTGATTGCCTCTGAGCCACAGCCGCCCCTAAAGTAAGGTGTTAGTGTTCATACCAAATGTCAGGCAGTAGGTTAAAGAGGTAGAATGTCTTTGGTCCTTCTTTTTTGAACTTTTAAGGGGTTTGAGTAAATTATGAAGATCCTCAACCTCATTGGGCCGCCCGTTTCTGCATAAAAATAAAAATACACATGCACAAAATAAAGAATAGTTTAATAAATAACACATTTTTGACTGTCAATCTTGACTTTGCTGTTGCATGCATGTAATGATACTCAAAATTATTATCAATAAAAAACAAAGGAAAGCAGTCCTTCACATACTGTACATTTCAAAGGTCCTACTGTGCACTAATTCAGCGTTTCTTAAGTGGCCTCCTCCAGAGAGAATACACATTAGCCTACTCTCTCATCTGTAACAAATAAGCAGAGTTATGCAAGTGTTATTTAATGTCTCTATAATAAGACCCTCAGTTCCCCACTAGTTATGGGAAGTGAAGCTGTCAAGGTGCAGTTTCGTCAGACACCACAGAACTTTCGTTGTTGGTCATTTTGTGTAAAATATTAATGCTAATTCTTTTGTAAAACAGGTCAAAGCTTTCAGGTTGAGAAACTGCTGCCGGAGGTTTTGGAGGTCAAGTTTTTTATTTTTTTTAATAACATCCGAGCTGCA